GGAGTTAAGAAAGAGAGAAGTTTGGTGGAAGGAGGGGCTAAAGAGAGCGACTTTCTTCGCCAGCTGTTTCACAGAGCTTCTCCCGTTGCTATTTGTTTTTGCCGCGCATTCGCCGGCTGGGATCTCTTTCTTTCTCCGTCCCGCTTCTACCTTTTGCCCTCTCGCTTCCGCACCAGCTGTTGCATCTTAAGCGCCAGCAAGCCTAAATACACTGACAAAAAAATGTAAGATCATACTATTTAACCCCAAGCTACTATAAACAAAACTCTTCGATGAGAATGTTTCTTAAACTATATTCAAAAATTAAATACAAATTCCATATCAAATTATAATGTACAACTAAGACTTTTCAACATTTTAGTAAGCATAAAATACAACAAAGAATACCTGTTTGGTCAAACATAAAATTATTTTTTTTTAACTTGGAATATATTTTTGAAAATTGTGGAGTAAGACTATTCTATGTTTTGAATACAAAAGGTTTAGATTTTTTTAAATAATGTTTTAGCTTAGTCAAAAACACAGATCTGGGTAAGTTTACGGTATAACTAATTAGAACGAGTCCCTTTTGTAAGTTTTTCTTGTAGCCCAGTGTAGCCAAAAGCCCATAAATTGGTATTTAAAAATTCTTTAAGTGCATACACGGATTGCAGTGTGTGCTGTGTCTTGTAGTTTATTGCAATTTCATATTAATAAGCGCCTTTTATGTGGGGCCGGGCGTTAGTGCCGTCCCAGGGGCGACATTAACGTTAATAATAATAAAATGTGTAATTGCATACAAGGAACAAGAAGAAGAATATCAGCTTCACCTTCTTCTTCTTGTTCTTCTTCTTTTTGCAACCAGTTTCGCAGACGTCGTAAGCCCCATCTTTTCCCCCAACTTTTTTCAAAGCCAGAGGTGTAAATCATTTTCTAATCGTAGCCAGCAGATCACATGCACACGCATCAACAAGCCAGCACACACACAGATACACCTCAGAGCACACTGATAGATACCCGGGACACACAGATACTTGGGACACACACAGATACTCACTCGCACAGGAAAAACAGTTGGACACTCGAGTGGACTTGACTTTTGTTTTTGGCACTGCATTTACTTTATGTTTACGTTGTCGGGCTGAAACTTTCCAGATTTTCGGTTTCGGCCAAAAAGACAATATTGTTGTTGTCGAGTGGGTGAAAAAAGGGGTGAAAAGGGGGTGGAAAGGGGGCGCAAAAGGGGGTGAAAAGAAGGCTGAACTGCAGCCAAAAGTCGAATGCAATCAAAGCTCCAGCGGAAACTTGCGTCGCCAGAGATGCAAAAGTGGTGAAAAGTTATCCGAAATTAAATCAACTAAAAAATATAATTACAACATAAAACATTGGCAAGCTATTTAGTAAAAAAATATTTAATTATCAGAAAAAAAAGACCGAAACAGATAACTAATAAAATAAAAACAATGTTTGGTAATGACAAATATTGTACACAAAATAAAATGTGGTAAGCCGATTTATAAACAAGAAATTCAATTATTTTATTTAACAGGAGCTTTTGATTTGATTGGATAAAATGTTTTTTATAAAAACTTTTAAGCGAAAATATGAGGAATAAAGAAAAGTACAAAATGAAGTGCTTGTAGGTGTTGGATTTAAAACATTTAAGCTGATTGCCTTATTTGGTTCTTACTAATAAAATATTTTGGACATTTCCCTCTGAAAGGCATAAACTTTATTGTTGACATTTGTGTGCATTGCGTCCGAAGGATTTAGTTCCATAAATTCATCGAATGTTTTGTGGACCTTTGCTTGCTGCTGGCATTTCCTAATCGAAGTGGCTCGTAAAAATCCCTTGGAGGTATGGCATTATATGTACTTCGTAATGCGTCTGGCTGGGAAAACTTTGGCGACTGCAAAACTTTGCTCGTTCTTCTCGTGGCATTTTGTGTCTTAATTTCTGCATTATCCTGGCAATCTTAATTAAGCTGCCTGTCACAAGGCGCCACGCCCACCGCCGTCTGCTCATTTGTTTGCCGCCATGTTTCGTGGGGTGTTTGCCATTTTTTTTTCAAAGCTAGTACACACTGTACAGAACTTCCGGTTCCGGTGCCCGTGGCACATTGCGTATCCGCAAGCCACATTTCAGTTATTGCCATTGTCCTCGCGAGTTGGCTTGGATTTATTTTACGACGCCTGTTTTCGCATCTTTTTATTTAATTGTTAATTATACACCGAGATACTTAATTATGCTAGTATGGCCCTAGATAAGAATAATTATATCATATAACAAAAATATTACGCATACGTAATCAAAATTGTATTCAACAATAACAGAACTAGTTGTTGACAAAATTACAATTGGGTTTTTTGTGATTTTATTTAACTTTGATTTTTAGAAGAAACTTTGAAATACATATGTATTTTTGAATAATATCCAATTGTTAATACATGATTATTACGTATACGTTATGGGTTATACTTATGCTGGAATTTTTCTTAATATACATTTTTTTAAGTTTTAAGTTGTCTTATTCAACTCAAATAGTTCTTTGGTAAGAACTCAAAAGTCAATTACCGTTGAATTTAGAAGAATTCTGACAATAAACCTGCCCACACCTTTCTCTCAGCCACTTCTTAATTGTTTAATTAGTTTTTTAACAACTTGGCAATGGCCATCAACTGAATCAAAGCGATTTCATTAGTTTTAGCACTTTTATGGGCCATTTTAGAAATGCAAATCGAAATTCAAGCACACAAGAGCTCTCAAACGGAATGCGGAAGAGCGCTTGTGTGTGTTTGTTTGTTTGTTTGCTCTTTCCCCTTTTTGCACCATTTTTAGAATGAGGGGAGAAAGAGGGAGGCAAAAGATTTGAAAATGTGTGTTCCTTTTTTTTTAAGTACGCAAACAGCGCTCTTAGCTCGCTTATTTCAATTAACTTTGCTAAATTTATTTATGCATGCGATTGCACTGACATAAATATCACAGAACAAACTCACCATCATAAAAGATTTAATAAAAATGTACTAGTTTTTAAAAACCATATCACTATTAAAAAAAATTGTTGGCTCTAATAATTTTAATCGATGTTTTTATATGTATATTCTTAGATTTTAATTTTAATATTGTCCTATTAACACAGAACTAAAATTATTTATATTTATAATATTAATTATACGTCTACTTCGCTTTCTTCTTTCTACCGGGAGCTTTTAACAATTCTAACTTGACTTAACTTTATTTTTTTCAGTGGATCCATGCGCTTATTTATTTGTGGGCGTGTGTGTATTGTCAACAAGCCCGTTAACAGTTAACAGGCACTAATTGTTTTTTGTTTTCTTTGGCTTACTTGTTCTGACTTCTTTTTATTTATTTTTTTATTGTTTATTATTTTTGTTTATATTTCCCTTTAAACTCCGTGCTGGTTTTTAATCCTTGACGGCGGGGTCATAAAGCGATCGTTGCATCTTAATCCTCGCCATAGAACCGCCTCCTTTTTGCCAGTGGGTAAAAAAAATACAAACTATGCGGCGGTTTCATTCACAGAAATATGCAAATGGGGGTGGGGAAATCGGGCAAATTGAATGCGATGCTGGAAAAACACAAGCCCAGCACACCCATTCCGTTGGGAAAGCGGAAAAGCAGACATCGTTGCGTACTACGCGGCTTACAACTGCAATTACAACTGCGACCACCACCCACGCTCCACCTGTTGGCCGTTTTCGGAGTCTATCCTGCTCTCTCCCTTCCACACTCACACGCTCTCTCTTTCTAACCCCTATCAGTGCTGTAATTATAGCTACTTAATAGTAGATGGATCTTTTTCTTTATTTAATCGGTAGCTCTTACACACTTACCATATCTTAATGTTGTATCTTTCACAAACCCAAATATACTTATTTTCATTAATTCATAATTCATAATTAAACTTTGGTTTCAATAAAGAGATAATAGGCATCCATACAAATATTATATCAATTAATCCCCCATTCAATTGCAAACCTAATTTTGCATAAGTAAAACTTTTTTTGTTTAGAGAAATTTAAACCTAGAAAAAGCCAACATTTATCATCAGTTATTTTAACTTAAGAGCTAGCCATTGCTAAATTCTCCATGGAAACAATTTGAATAGGTCTTTAGCCATTTCAGGGGCATACTCCGACCATTTTCATTAGTCAATAGTGGGCAGCACTACGGGGAATTAACAATGAGCCAGCAACGATGTTAACTGAAAAATGCTTTTCGCTTTTGCTGAGCTGTGGCTGAATGCCGGGGATTTGGGAGTGGGTTTAGTGGGTTCAGTGGGTTAGGGTTTCGGGGTGGGAGCCACAGATGCAGCTGGAACTGAAGATGGGAGTTTTGCGGGTGGGTCGGCGGTTAGTTGCCCCACCGTCGCCATAGCCATCGCCATCGCCATCGCCACCACCACGGTGCAGTGAACCCGCCGCTAAGTATGCAGCACAGAACTGAAGTTTAATTGGGAACGAAATCCATCGAAACATTCCTGCGGCAGTCGAAAGTATTTCGCTAGCGGATTTTATTTATTGCTGGTGCACATATATTGAGGTGATACATTATATTTATTGTATTTCATATTATATTTATATTAAAAAAAATAAAAAAATAACTAGAAGATTAGTATTTACTTTCCGCAGCGGCTGGTGCATGGGAAACTGATTATATTACTATACGGTTAAATATTGATTTGTAGATTCTTTCAGTACAGCTGTGTTCAAAATAATAATACAAGTGGACAAAAACACCAATTTGATAATTTTGTGCATGCAAGTACCAACATTATTTTATCCACAGCTGTATGTTCCAAATATTTTTTTTTATGTTTTTGGATATTTCATATATCATTTGCATTATCAGAGAGCCGCCTCCACTCCACTCCATTTTCTATATTTTTCTTAATTTTTTAATAGTGTATTTTTTAAAATAAATAATCGACAATTTTTCAACAGAGTTTTTGCGTTTGGTATTTAAAGTTTTGTATATATAAAAATTTATTGCTTTCTTGTTTTAGCTTTTAGGGCATATATTGCGAATGATCATAGGTTGTCCAAGGATTTTTTGTATTACTCGTATAACCATTGTCGGGCAAAACTTTAGGTGTTCTATAATAGTTCTTTGTGTTGTTCGAATAGTCCTAAAAAATTGTTTTAAAAAAAATGTAAGCATTTGCAAAAAGATTAAGTTTTTCCGATGCACTAACCTTTAGGTTTTTTTTCTGATGAGGTAAGAAAGGATTCTGTGATCCTGGGGCTTCCGTGGCGGGTCTCACCTTCAGCACCGCCGACGTGGGCCCATCGCCAACCCTTGATGTCGAATGGGATCTCAAACTCAATCCCAAATCTATGGAGGGTGGTGGCTCCCGCCGGATTCGCTCCTCGATCTCGTAGAGCTCTTGCTGAAGTGTCGAAATGTAAAACATCCCAAGGCATATACATATATATAAGCTTCATGATAACTCACCCGATTTTTATAGACCATGCAGCAGGCTCGCAGAGTAAAATAATAGATTATCTCCACACCGGAAAGCAGTGAAAATCCGAGAAAAAGACTGGCAATTCCGCCGAAGGACACTAAAAGATCCACCCAGCCGAAAAGGACCTCACGTTTGTAGCGAATAATCGGCCAGGTGAGAAACTCCACCAGAACACCTGTGCTCTCTGGTCGGTCCACTCTGAAAAATGAGCAGGATATTGATCACTTTTATTTAATAAACACAAAAAAACATAACCCACATTTTGATAAGCTTGTCAATGTTGAATACGGTTTTCGAGCAGCTGAGTTCGCACTGAAGGCAGTCCTTGATGTTGGTGATGTTCGCCTTGAACTCATAGAGGCAATCGAAATCCTTGATCATGCACATGGGCACATTAGCTGAAACGATTAGAGATGATAACAATTTAATTTAGGCGGTGCTACATATATCATTTGGGCTTTAAAATCACTTGTAAACTTGCTTAAAAGTATGAAAAAATACAGTTTAATTTGAAAAAGTCCAGTAAATTCAATGGAAAATCCAACGTTCTTAATTTAACTGCATACTATAAGACAAATTTTTAAATGACTGCAAAATAATTTCACCTATGGGCTTGTAGAAGGGCGGATTGCATTTGCAGAGCTTGATGGCCTTGTTCATGCGGCACTGCTTCATGCAGGATGAGAAAGTGTACGCATCCGGGAAATAGTTGAGCTTCACCTCGTCGCTGAAGATGCACTTCCTCTGGCCAATCGACAGCTGGCGGGCATCGTCCGTGGTATAAGTGTTCTTCTTGGAGATCCTTACCTCCACCAGCTGAGTCTCCGACCAATCGATCTGCGCGTTGAAATCCGAACCAAAGTATTCCTCGTTGGAGAATATGTATATCTATATAGAGTATTGTTATTATAAGGCATCAAATATACTAAATAATATTGTCTTATCTACAATTAATTTATTATACTTTAAAAATTAATACAACAAAATTGGTCCACGTTAAAAGGACAAATTTCCACAGTACATCAGAAATTTAAAACTAAGTAACAGGATACAGATCAAAAAATGTACATATTTAGATAATTAAACCACAAGTCTTTAGAGGTGCCACTTTTAAATCGGCTTAAATTTGGTAAAGTTATGGAATCTAGAAGTCCAATTTTGAGTCACTCTTTTACAGACATCGGAAAATAAGAAATAACTAACATGAAAATGGGTCAAAAATTTTATCAACGTTAAATTAAAAATTTTGTATGCAGATTTTTAGAGGATCCAACCACAAGACTTTAGAGGTATGCCACATTGGAATCGGATTAAATTTGGGGAAGTTATGGAGTTCAGAAGTCCAAGTGAGGGTCACCATTTGACACATTATCGGAAACTTAGAAATAACTAACATGAAAATGGGTCAAAAATTTGATCAACGTTAAAATGAAAATTTTGAATGCAGATTTTTAGAGGATCCAACCACAAGTCTTTAGAGATATGCCACATTGGAATCGGATTAAATTTGGGGAAGTTATGGAGTTCAGAAGTCCAAGTGAGGGTAACCATTTGACACATTATCGGAAACTTAGAAATAACTAACATGAAAATGGGTCAAAAATTTGATCAACGTTAAATTGAAAATTTTGAATGCAGATTTTCAGAGAATCGAATCACAAGTCTTTAGAGGTATGCCACTTTGGAATCGGATTAAATTTGGGGAAGTTATGGAGTTCAGAAGTCCAAGTGAGGGTCACCATTTGACACATTATCGGAAACTTAGAAATAACTAACATGAAAATGGGTCAAAAATTTGATCAACGTTAAAATGAAAATTTTGAATGCAGATTTTTAGAGGATCCAACCACAAGTCTTTAGAGATATGCCACATTGGAATCGGATTAAATTTGGGGAAGTTATGGAGTTCAGAAGTCCAAGTGAGGGTCACCATTTGACACATTATCGGAAACTTAGAAATAACTAACATGAAAATGGGTCAAAAATTTGATCAACGTTAAAATGAAAATTTTGAATGCAGATTTTTAGAGGATCCAACCACAAGTCTTTAGAGGTATGCCACATTGGAATCGGATTAAATTTGGGGAAGTTATGGAGTTCAGAAGTCCAAGTGAGGGTAACCATTTGACACATTATCGGAAACTTAGAAATAACTAACATGAAAATGGGTCAAAAATGTGATCAACGTTAAATTGAAAATTTTGAATGCAGATTTTCAGAGAATCGAATCACAAGTCTTTAGAGGTATGCCACTTTGGAATCGGATTAAATTTGGGGAAGTTATGGAGTTCAGAAGTCCAAGTGAGGGTCACCATTTGACACATTATCGGAAACTTAGAAATAACTAACATGAAAATGGGTCAAAAATTTGATCAACGTTAAAATGAAAATTTTGAATGCAGATTTTTAGAGGATCCAACCACAAGTCTTTAGAGGTATGCCACTTTGGAATCGGATTAAATTTGGGGAAGTTATGGAGTTCAGAAGTCCAAGTGAGGGTCACCATTTGACACATTATCGGAAACTTAGAAATAACTAACATGAAAATGTGTCAAAAATTTGATCAACGTTAAAATGAAAATTTTGAATGCAGATTTTTAGAGGATCCAACCACAAGTCTTTAGAGGTATGCCACATTGGAATCGGATTAAATTTAGGGAAGTTATGGAGTTCAGAAGTCCAAGTGAGGGTCACCATTTGACACATTATTGGAAACTTAGAAATAACTAACATGAAAATGGGTCAAAAATTTGATCAACGTTAAAATGAAAATTTTGAATGCAGATTTTTAGAGGATCCAACCACAAGTCTTTAGAGGTATGCCACTTTGGAATCGGATTAAATTTGGGGAAGTTATGGAGTTCAGAAGTCCAAGTGAGGGTCACCATTTGACACATTATCGGAAACTTAGAAATAACTAACATGAAAATGGGTCAAAAATTTCATCAACGTTAAATTAAAAATTTTGAATGCAGATTTGTAGAGGATCCAACTACAGGTCTTTAGAGGTATGCCACATTGGAATCGGATTAAATTTGGGGAAGTTATGGAGTTCAGAAGTCCAAGTGAGGGTCACCATTTGACACATTATCGGAAACTTAGAAATAACTAACATGAAAATGGGTCAAAAATTTCATCAACGTTAAAATGAAAATTTTGAATGCAGATTTTTAGAGGATCCAACCACAAGTCTTTAGAGGTATGCCACATTGGAATCGGATTAAATTTGGGGAAGTTATGGAGTTCAGAAGTCCAAGTGAGGTATATTGGTGTAATTATTTCACACATTATAAATTTTATTCAAAAGTTTGTGGACTTACCTTAGAAGTGCTGTTGGGCACAAAGAAGAGCGCCCACTTCTTGTCGGTTTCGTAGAGATCATGAGGGGCCCCGGTCTTGACGCTGTGTTAATATATGTATATATATATATACCCGATAAATCCGAGATCAGACAGATCCCGCCCTGGGGAACTCACTCTTCGGTGGCCGTGGACTTGAACCGGCTGTTGAAGGCGTAGCAGAAGCCGTGCTCCGTGTAGATGGGCTCGAAGTGGTCGCAGCAGGGTATCTCCTCGTCGCGATACTTGCAGGACACGAAGGTGCTCTCGCAGCTGATGGATCCTTCGAAGGCCCACTGCCGAATGGTGTTCGCATCCAGCAGGTTCTGCGGGATCGAATGCGCCAGGACCTTGGCGTCGCGGATGTTATCGAAACTCAAGGAGGTCAGCAGACGCAGGAACGGACTATACAGTAAAGCCTGCCCATTATCGTAGTTGCTTATGGGTTTAAACATGTATTCAAATTACCATACATTTTTTTTCTATATAGTAGCAAGTGATATCATGTGAGTGAATAGCTTTTGAAAATCTATGAAACCTGCATATTGCTTATTTTTTAGCTTCTTATAAATAGACCTATTAAAAAATAAGTAAGTAACTAAAACACTTTCAATTTATATGAGGCTTCTTTTTGAATGCCCAAATTTGTTATGAAAACGCTCCTTGAATTTTCTGAAAGTTTTCGAGTACTCACGCCAGTGTCTTGTAAACCATCTCGTAGGTCTTGTCGTGGTCGAAGGCCGCCTCCGGACAGACGACGGTGGTGGGGAAGACCACGTTCTGGTTGTGGAAGTCGGTGTCCAGGCCCGTGATGGTCGGATTGGTCTGGAACTTCTCCCAGAGGCTCATGATGATGACCAGCGCGGTGACCGCCCCGATCGATGTGAAACAGAACCACATGAACTTCTCGCCAATGGGGCGGCCCGTTTCCGCGATGTAACGCACTCCGTGGAGCGTGGAGTTCTGGAAGAACTCCTTCGTCTGGTAGATGAGGCTGCGCCGGAAGATGACCAGGGTGTGGAGGCCACGCTGCCTCTTCGTCTCCGGATGGTGATTCTCTTGCGGCATTTTCGTTTCAGGAACATCGCACGCCGCCACGGCGCAGAATCGAAATCAAAATCGAAGGCCTAGCATCCGATCCAAAGCCAATATTTAGACTGAAAGTGGTCAGAAAAACACCATACAACATATGGATAGCCCAAAACCAAATCGATGCGTGGGTCATTGGTGGCTGCGTGCGGTTCCTAAAAGCCTTTCATTGTTTATATAATGCCATTTGCATGCTTTTGATTGTGCCACGAATTGGGGCAGTTTACGTGGCCTATCTAGATCTATATACCCTGCGTTTTTTAGTTAGGAAGCCTTAGAAATACCCGCCCATTGTTAAGTGGTGCTACAGAATGCGTGGTTATGAAATCACTAGCTTTATAAAATCATAATTCAATAAATATAATATAATATAATAAATATAATATAACTATAATACAATTCATTAGACGCAGTTATTTTTTTCATTGCACACTTTGCATTCCTTTTATAGGTGATTTTAAAACCGTAGTAAAAGGTAAAAAATATCTATAAAATTGTTTTTTTATTTAAATAAGTTTTTAACCGTGGCAGAGTTTCTTAAACCTTTTAGTTTAGTTTAACAAATTATAATATATAATGCAAAGGAAATTAATTTTTAAATAAAGCAACTTGCTCATATGTATTCATTTGTATAAATTAAGATACATTTTTCTCTAATTGCCATAAACTGGAAGTATGAAATTTGCAGGGTATATATCGAACTCAATTCCCAAAACATATTTAGCCGTTCTAACATGACGAAATGCAAACGAAAGGGCAAGAATTTAGGAAAAGTCCTGCGCATTTGTAGGTTAGTCCAGCTTTCGAATGCAGCTGCCTAATATTAATGGATGGATTGATGTATGGATGGATGGATGGATGGATGGATGAATGGATTGATGGCTTGATAAATGGCTGGTTAATTGGTCGAGGCTGTCTGAACAGCTTCCGGCGCCGCCTTGCATTCCAAAAAAAAACGCATATCCCCATATGGGAATGGCCACTCCACTCAACGCCACTTCACTCCAAGGATCGGAGGAACTTCACAAGTTTTGTGTGAACTTCTGACACGGCCCAGACTCTCTTTGTTAGCTCTTTCGCCCTCTCTTTCCCTGTTTTTTGTTAAGTGTTCTCAAGTTTCACAAAAAGTCCAGAATTGGGTTTTGGATTTTCTGTTTTCGGTTTTCGAACAAAAGAACTGCTGGAATGAGTTGACCCTGATGGCGGTGGTCAGATAATCGGGGCCACTGGCGCCAGTCGATTGGCATCCCTTTTTACCCCGCTTTTTGTTCACCTTAATCCTACATAGTCTGGATATTTGCATATATATTATATTATTGTAGTTTTAGGTTTAAAAATGCATCATCTTTTTGCGCATTTCTTGTCCTGTTTGAATTGGCTTTAATATTGATTAATTTGGCTATATCTTTTATACAAAAACTAACGTATAGAAACTCTTTTCCAATTCACTGTCATATTTTGAACAACTAATCTATGATTATAGCTAGATAACTATTTTAATACAAAAGTACTTTGGCAAATAGTAATTCAACTAGAAACGAATGTCTTGGGTTAAAGGAAATCCTAACGGACCGTAGCATAAATTATCCAACCCCAAGGATCCGAGGCTGCACCTGCGGTGGGAGAAATAAAGTGAGAAAGGGCACTGTAACTATAGTATACTAGGCTGGAATCGCGACCCACTTATGGGTCTAACCCCCCATAACTCCCCTCACCCACGAAAATTCCCCGTAACTCCCGCTCTACCAAATCCATTGCCCCATAGCCTCTCAATTAGTTTCGCTTTTCGTATTCTCCCCCGGTTCGGTTTCTTATCAGCGATCATTTGTCAAAGCCCTGCCATTGAAAAGTTGCCCGACCACTAAACGAAACGGCAATTGCAACAAATTTGTTCGCTAACCCCTTCCACATGCCACATGCCCCACACCTCTGCCCCGCCTCCTTCTGCTCCAGTTGACAAAAGAAGAGGAGCAGAAAATACAAGACACCAAAGAAGAAGGACAGCGAGAGAATGTGGCGACCCAAAGATACTCTGGTACAGGCAGTTAGATATTGAAAATTCAATTAGTTAAAAAAAAAAGAAATATTTATTAAAATGAAACCTTTGTTCTTGGCTTCTTAAGAATAATAATTAAAAAACAATTATATCCGTTTCCTCTAAATATTTGTATATCCTTAGGTGTATTGTATACTTAATTAACTAATTTTTCTTACAAGATACATTATTTTAAGTGTTTCCATTTTACAATATTTAAATCACTGAGTATCTCTATGTAAAGTTTTTTTATAAATAATCAAGGGATTTTAGGGGAAACGTATCTCTTGGTGTTTTATATTACTTTCACAGGAAGCTGAATTAAATGTTATTTAAAGGTATTTTATACAAAGTTAATTTAAATGTATAAATAAGATACCACATTTTTAGTTGTTAACCACTGGCTTATCAAAAGTAACCGCTAACCAATCGGGAAAGCTATATAGTTTAAAAAATTAATATAATTATTTGATTGTGAATACTTTTAAAGACCATTTTCAATTCTAAGTGTTTAAGGAGGAGAACCATCTTGCACCTGCTGGCACCGCTCCCCATCGAAAGTCGGGTATACGTAGAAATACCCATTGTAATCCAAGATCTTTGGACGACAAGAATCAGCGCTGCCATCGTCGGGAGCACTCTCATAAATAAGAAATTGAGAGTAAACGAGACCTGGTCGGGATCGTCGAGGGGATCCCCTGAGCAGGGGCAGGATCTATGGGTATACGGGCTTCGATAAACTTTTTTTTGCTTTCCCTTCTTTTACATTATTTTTTTTATGCCGAGCGGTTTCAGTTTCTCGTTTTGCATTGCATCGAGCACCAAGATCGATCGGTGGCGAAGAATGTTCCTTTCAGCCGCGATCTTACCCTGCGTCTGGGTCTCCACTCCACTGTCCGTCCTTTTGTGTGATTAATGGTAATTGCTTTTATGGCTTTCTACGGCGCTGCTCGGCCACAATTTGTTGCGGTAATTTCGCTTTTAGTCGCAGTCGCAACAGTTGCAGATAGCCCCCCTTAAAAAAAAACCGGGAAGTATTTAGAAAAGCACTGATTCGATTCGCCGCGAAATAAACTATTTCAGACTATTTGAAAAGTTTATTTTGGTAGCTTTGAAAAGTTATTATATACAACGACTAAACAAGTTAAAAGCGTCATATCAAGGGAATTAAAACACTTAAAAAATTTACAAAGCCGGCAATGTTTAATTCACAAATTCGCAGATTTACCTTTAATTTTTCATATCATTTTGATAAGTGAATCATCTTAAGTCGAAATGAATTTTACAATTCTTTACATAAAATAGGCCAGAGCGTATAACATCTGCCTTTAGTAACAAATCCCTCCGCAGCCTAAAATTCTTTTGTAATTTATTAACTCAATAAATAAATATCGTTGCTTTGACGTGTTTATATTAAATTTAAATGCTGACATCTGGTTAAAAATTATATGTAAAATCATCAAAGTGATTATCACATCATATCAATTTTTCTTTTTGTGTAGCAAAACAAACTTATGTTACAATTAGTAGCAAAAATTTTGAGTGTTTTATTTCACTTATTTCCATGATTTTCAAATAGTATAAAAAAAATTAACATTCATGCGACTAACATAATAATGGGTAATGGGCGATGAAGGGTACATAAATGTAAGTATAAAGACGGCCAGCACTTTTCAGTCGCTATTTTCGTTTCCTGTTTCCGGTCCACATCCGTTTCTGCTGCCGATCGGCGTGTCTACCTCGTTGTATGCCCGTTGATCTCGATATTGACTAAACAATCCGCGCACTTTGTTCAGCGGTGTTTGGAATGACGCCGCAGCCGACAATGCCGAAAAAGCCCAAAGCGGCGATGAAGCAGCAGGGGCGGCTACCGTTTCGCCATTCATGCTGGCTGCAACTTGAATACTTGCGGCGGACGGAGTGCGCGGCAGGCGCGGCGGAACTGGCGGCGTTAATGGTCCGGAGCCACGCCTTCCGGCGGCCACGGCACACAGCTTGGGGGTGGCAAGGAGCCGCTTGGGATGCAACGGAGGCTGGCTGTTGGATTCCGATTTTTGCACTTTAACGTTCTTCGGCGACGGGAAGCTGTAAAATAAATGGGCGAAATCATATTATTTAGACTATGGTATCCAGTTGCTTGCTATATTCTTTATAAGTTGACTATACATATTAAAAGAAGGATCAGAAACACTGCATTTATACATTAAAGTCGATACATTCTCTTTAAAACACCAACACACATTAAAAAATGGTAGTAAAAAGAAAGAAAGCTAATAAGTAAGCTTGGGGAAAAATATTGTTAATACAAAATATAACACCTCTACAATCTTTTCATTCTGAATACAAAATGACAATAAGTTAGCCATCGCACTTGAATCCCAATGTTTGTGCTCTACACTCACAGATTCATTTCAGCATCGGAGAAGCTCTCCATAGCAGTCTTCCACGCGTGGACATGCGGCAGCGTCTCCTTATCCACGTCCACACTGGAAATGGCATTCAGAACATCCACATCCCGCTTTGTTGGCTTGTCTCTGCAGAAGATTAATACTTAAAAAAACATATCGAGGTAAAGGCATTGCAGGAACGCACCCACATATAAACAGCTGGTACTGCGGCTCCAGATCCACGGACATGCGTGGCGACAAGCTTTCTGGCGGCGTACGGAAGTGCTCCTCGTCCTCGCTGCTGCTGCCATACGGCGGAGTAACCTCAGTGCAGTCAAACTTGAAAAATTAAACAATGTAGCTGATTAATTTGCATACTACTTAATACACAATAAAACTCACAAAGCACACATCTTCGTCGCTGTCGTCGTCCTCGTCGTCACTTTGCTGCCCGCGCCAAGCGGTTTTCGAAACAGGCGCCACGACAGCTACTCTGTGCGCTCCCAGGCTCAGCGAGACGTGCAGAGCGGTGGAACCCGCTGCATCGGGCAGCTGTCCATGCGACACAGGCTGGATAGAGGCGTCTGCGCGCAGGGACTTGGTGCGCTTGCGCCGACTGGTCTTGCGACTGAGACTCGCGTCCCAAAGGCAGGCGCAGCACTGCTCCGTCTCCCAGGCGGCGGAGCACAGCTCCTCGGTCTTCAGAGTGTCCGGCAGATGAACGGCGGTTGTCGGCGCCTGCTCCAGCATAAGCAGAAGGCTGCCGCACACACAGCCCAAATATTGCTCCCTGCCACGCTCGTCGGCCAGCACTTGGCGCAATGTCCGAAGCATCTGCAGCAGCTGGAGGCGCATGGCCACACTCACCTCCTGCGAATGGGTTACATAGCTAGCCACCAGGTGGGCAATGCGCGAATGGACCTTGCTAAAGTCTACACTAATGAAGCGGGCATCATCCTAAAAGATTTACAAAATATTTGTATATTTCAACAAACCATAAACACAATTTTACTGATCACCTTAAAGCTGACAATCAGCGATTTCAGTCTTTTCAGCTCGCATAGCAGCGTATCGTTAATGGAAACCATGTTGCCGATTTTGTTGATAAGTGTTTTGGTGATGCGCTTGGCGAACACTTGAAGAGATTTCTCCACGCAGGTGTACGGGGTCATGACCCCGGCAGATGACGAAGTTGCTCCAGCCGCCGCGTCTCTGTCTTTACGGAGCTGCTGTTGCTGCTGATCATCAGCCATTAAATCGAAATACTGATGCAAATGGGCAAAGTTCCAGATCGTTTCCGACTTCTCCGCCTGTCGCTCGGCCCTTTCTCGCAGATAGGCGTCCAGACGGGCCAGGCCATCGTGCGTACTGAAATCCATGAAGGTGTCGAGGAAGTCCCAGTGCTCGCGCCACTCAACCTGCTCCTGGCGCGCCAGCTGACGGCCCACCACCTCCAGTCCCTTCTCGATGTCCGAGTTCTTAATGTCGCGCTCCCGAAAGCTGTCATTCAGCGACGTGTTCAGGCTGCGGCTCAAGCTCGTATCCAGCAGCAGGGAGTTGTCGGCCATCGAGGGCGAATCGAAACTGTTGTTGTTGCGATAGGCCATAAATAAAGCCGGTTTCAAATGGCGTATGGGTGTTTCCGGTAATTCCAAGGGATACACGGGCTTGATATTGTTGTTGTTGTTCTCACACTCATTATTGCCATTGGGCAATCGTTTTGGTGAACTGGTCACCGCCGCCATGGGGCTGAATAGCACCCTGCGACCCGTGTGGACAGGACTGGTGTTTCCAACACTGCGGTTAAAGATCGACTTGTTCGGCGTCACCTTAACCGGCGAACTAAATGGCGAGCTGGCCATCGGTGACATTGCATTACTGTTCACCCGCGGCGGTGTCTTCCACCGGCGATGGAAGTTTATGGCCTTCTCCCGGGACATGGGTCCAGCCAGAGCGCTGATGGTCAAGTCCACACTGAGGCCCTCACACTCGTCCGTCTTGTGTTGCAGGTTCTGGAACATATGGAGGACAAACATTAACTCGTTATTCATTATAATTTAGTTCTAAAAATAAATAAGATTAACAACAATTGACGTGCTTGTGTTTCTTATTTCATACTCTAATGACTTCAGTTAATAATATAATCCAGGGAGCTTAATTATTGAACAAACAAAACCATAACTCCCACCTTCTCACTTCAATTTTAGGAAGTAAATAATGCTAACCATACAATTGCCTGGGGAGGTTTTAGATTTCTTTGAGAAAGCCTCAGCTCATATTCTTGTTAAATAAAGAAACATTTCAGAAAACTTTTTTCAAGACATTAAAGCTTGCCATATATATGTTAACTTTTGTTCGATAAGGCAAAGATAAATATAATTGAATAATAGTACTACAAGAACTGCGTAATTAAGAAGTGGTTCTTTTAAAAATTAATTTTAAGAAAATGTAAAATAATTAAATGTGATTTAGGATTGGGGCGATGAACACACTTAAGAAACATGCAAAAGATTTCTAACATACAAAATATTTATTCAGTGAAGTTAGGCCCTGTGCCAAAATATTCATATATATTTAAAATAGTCACTCACCGGCGGCTCTCTGGGCGAGAACGGTTGACCCACTTGCGGGGGCATTGTATTGGACTTGGATCTCAGCACTGGCACAAAGTACGGATCGTGCAGGAGGAGCTCCAGTTTTCTGATGGTCACGTTTGTGGCCTGCGCATTACGTAGACAAATAATCTAAAGGGGGAGAATAAAATACATTTAGATATATGGACTGGGTGAAAGGATTTTCTACTCACCTCCCTGGGCTCCTTGCCCTCGTGATTCGTCAGCGACTTGCACTCCGGATAGGAAATGAGCACCTCGACCATGGACACATGACCGTTCTTTGAGGCAAAGTGGAGCGGCGTCTCGCCACGCGCCTTATCCGGCATATTCAGATAGTAGTCTAGCAAACTCTTGTTGAGGGCGGCGCACATATCGCCGCTGCCCTTCTTGCCAACATACAACTGCGTGAACTCCCGATCCGAAATGGTCTTCAGCAGCAACTGGGCGATCCTGGCCTTGTTCACCTGGGCGCATATGTGCATGGCATTATAGCGACAGCCCTCCTTCAAACTCGTCGGCGTATCGCCACTGCTAATCAGAAATCGTGGGTTCTCCCACACAATCCTCTTGACACGATCGATGTGGCCACCTTCGATTTGCTTGCGGAACTCTTGCAGTTCCTGTTTGGTGGGCGCCCGGAACGGTGGACGTTCTCCTGACAAATCCTGCTGCGGCTGCTGATGCTGCAACTGCAACTGCTGGCGGCCATTGGCAATGATATTGCTGGTGCTGCTCGTCGATGAAGTGGGCGAGCTGCTGAGCAGTAAACTGGACATTGAGGGACTGTTCCCTAGGGGACTGATAAAACCACTGCCACTGCCTGTGGGCGAAGAGGAGTACGAACTGTCGGTGGAGCCCGGTGAGCTCTTGTAACCGCCGCCGCTTAGCGGAATGGGCTCTGAAAAATGTACATCTATTTAGTTAAGCAGCTTGAACCCTTCCTAATATTGCTCTACAATACTCACTGCTTTCTGTCTTGGCCTTGCCGAATCTCTTAAGCGCCTCGATGCTCTCGAACCCAAACTGCACGTAGCTCTCCGCCTGCTCCAGGTTGGGAAACTCGCGGAGGCGGGCCTCCTTGTAATGCCGCAGGACGTCCAGCGCCTTGGATTTTTCAGTAAAGATCAGCCACAGTGGCGAGTCCGCTGCTCCGCGTTGATGTTGATGATGTGTGGGCATCGAGAGGAACAAACCATTAATAAATGAGCTGGCTTTTTGGTCACGCCATCGGGTTGGCGAATAGCGAACGAGTGGCGAAAGCCGCACGAGTAGAGGATTGTGTTGAGCAAAACAAAATAAAAACAAATACGAGGGGGCGTTGGGTGGCCAGTGGATGTCGGATGGTGGGTGCGCTACATGCGTGTGACGCAGCTGTTGGCACAACGCCGGCAAAAATTTTCCGAGGCGCTCCCTTATCAGAAGTATCAACAGTTTTGGTATAGAATTGTCACAGATTTCAAAGATGTGTATTGGCTACGATTTTAGGCAACAAATGAAATATACAAGCTTTTTACAAAACGTCCACGTTTTTTTTTACCACTATTTATGTTTTAAAGGATTTCATATTAAAATTCCCCAAAAATAAATATGTTTTTAATTTTCTAAAAACTAATACAAAATTTATAATCAAATGAATCTTAATCTTTTTTTAGAGGAATTGTTTTTCAATTTAGAAAACAATTTTTTTTAGAATTTCAGCTCTCTTAATTATTAATATATTTTACATTTTTATTTTACTAAATTTCACAGCACTCTAAAGACTGAATAGACACTATTGAAAGCTATGATCACTTGGGACTAACTAACCCATTTAAAGTTTACTTGTTGAATTTATAAAAAACAAAAGCAGATAAATTTAGATCGCAGCTGTGGCGTAAAAACATTTCATTTATTTTTCTCAACATTACCACTTGAAATTAGCGGGTATGCCATAATTAAATTTACTTTCAACTATTCGCAGTGTGCGAGCAAAACAAAAACATGAACTAGAGGGAAAAGCACCGCACAGCCTTGGAGGTGTAGTTCTAATCAAAGATCTGATAAAAGCTAAACATTATAGCATGTAGAAATAACTACAAGTGTAGGCCAACAGATTGCAGGTATGAAAGTTCAAATAGTAAGGCATAAAACATTTTCTAATAGATTATTGAGACACTAATTAGGGGTATTTAGGCTGCTTATATTTGATCAGGTTAAAATGACATTTTAGTTCATCCCCACAATGAGGAGCAATTTTTAAAATAAAATTACCTTTGATACATGAGTTGTTTGTGCACTTAAAATACCAAAAATTATATAATATTGGAGTTTTAAATATATTCCAACCATTTTTGGAAGCGATTATTTTTAAATTAATTAATCCCCTAATTTTAGGGTATCATATAGGCCAGTAGATTTAATTTTCCAATAATGTACTCTCTTGCCTTTGCGCTTGTTTTCGTTTTCTGGGCAACGACTGTTGACTTGGGCCAAGTGACAGGGACAAGGGAAAGGGACTGGGACTGGGATATAAAAAAAGAGGCAGACACAACCCACAATAACACAAGCCGGCAAAGCTGAGGGTATATAAATATTGGATCCGGGGACACTATAAGTACACGCACACTCTTTTTTGGGGTACTTGATCTGCAGCTCGCAGTATAAATAACACTTAAACAAAATACAAGAATTGGGGGAATACTGGCAGATATACATTAGCGACCGCAATAAGAGTTGTTGTAAAGATATTTGTTAAGCTCTGCCTCGTAGGTTTTAATATTTTGATAACGATTTCAGAATAAGCAGATATTATCTGTAGTATTTAAAAAAATCCAGTCGGTAAGAAATTTAAGACATTATTTAAAACATGAAGAATTAGTATTCTTATAATTCCTATTAAAATACTTGACCAATTTAAAGACACAATCCAATTTTTAATAATAATTTTTTTTATAGAGAATATAAAAATGTTTACATTTCCATCAAAAAAATGTATAAACCTATTGTTTCATTTGAAATATTTGTATACTAATGCGAAAATGTTCTATACAGAATGCAGTGTAACTGCTGTAGAAAAGAAATAAGGGGGCAAAAGAGAAGTGGGCAGTGGTGACAGATCAAGGTCCTAGTAATGTACCCATTTTGGCGATTGCCTGGAATGGATATTGGATGTGGAAGGGGAATGAACTCGCCCCAATCGGTTATTGTTTTTAAAGCGCATTTAATTGGATTAAAGAGAGAATGAGATGGCAGTGAGCAAGCGAGAGCGGGACAGTTGCATCTAATTAAGCAGGTAATGGCAATTGTTCCAGATTTGTTTATAATTAAACCGAAAGACCGCTCCCAGACAAGGAAATCGACTGTGCGAGCGGGATAGTCGCACAAGTTATTTTTTTATTTTCCTAAAATTCTCAGAAGTGTGCACACACACATGGTAACTTCTTTATGGATAGTTAGTCACGGAAAAAAAACAACGAAATTTCAAAAACAAAGATATAGGAATCCCGAAGTTGGGAATACCCTCAATAACTATTTTAACTGATTTTCGAATTTTTATAAAAAAAAACCGGTTTTGGTGGATTAAGATTAGTAATCAAACAAGATAAAATGTTATGAGGATAATACACTAAGCCGATCAAGAATATTCCTGTTGGAAATAAAAATGTCACCCCCCTTATAGAACAGACCTCAAGGGTTTCAGATATTCAATAAATATATTAAATTTCAAGAGTAACTCAAGGGAAAATCAAACTTTCTATCCTGAAAAAAGAGTCTGCAAGCAAAGCGAAAAATGGACCCATTGGAAGGATCCTGTTAACTTGATACCCTTGCTACGAACTGACCAACGAACCACACACGCCTCTCAATTATTGGGTAGCACAACAGCAACAAGCGGCAAATAACTGGAACGCAACACATACAAATCCACACCCGCACGAATATATCGCCCGCTCTCTCTCCTACTTACGTGGATAGTCGGGATCCTCGTACTTAACGGCACTACCTTCAGCTGTAGGTCCCGTCGATTTGTAGGTTAATGCCGATCCGGATGGAGATCCAGCCGGATGATGTGGTGGCTTTATGTTCACCGCCGCTATGGACCCGACACACAGGCCCGCAGATCCCTCAAAACAGCCCGATTTCAAGGGCGGGATATTGACTCCAAAATAGGTCGACATCTCTGCGGAAAATGGCGGCTGGAAGATTAATAACTGTTATAAATAGGTATTCTCGTGAAATACCAGGCAACTTCATCGCCTCTCTTGTTGTTGTTGTTTTCGGCTGCACTCCACACACACGCAAACAAACATAAAGACGCAAAAAACAGGGGGCAAAAACAGCCAACGCTCATCAACAATAATGACGAGAACTTGTGAACATATCGGAAATTCACGATTCGGCTCAAAAACACTGCTATCCCGTTATTCTTACCTCTTAAAACATCACAACATCTAATATAAAATTAAGCGTCTTTCAAACAAAATGTGCACAAACCGAATGAATTTAGAGGTGGGGTGTCGTTACTTTAGGGGGTGGAGAAACATCGATTGCTTTTTCGTGGCTATCGATGTTTGTGAGTGTCCGTTTTGTCAAACGGAATTTAAAATATGTTTAATTCCATTTTAAATTTAAGTACTCGAAGGCCCAGAATAAACTATCGTTATTTTGAAACAATTTGAAGAAAGTAATTACCAACCAAAAAGATAAATTTGATTGCGGATTATTAGATAAGAGCAATGCCACTTTAAAATACAGTTCCAAGTTATTGTCTCAAAATGCATTTTTGGACCCGTTTTATAACAAAATTATTTTTGCCAGGCTCTTTTCAGTGGCTTAAGTCCGTACTTCTTTATGTGGTATTATTTGCCAATCTCGAAGAGTTATACCAAACAAAACGTGAAATAGCTTTGACCAGTTAAAAATATTTTTAGAATGAGCAATTTGCAATTTTTAAAGTCTCTCTTCAAGCTGTTCTTGTGAAAAAGTATATTTGACTGGTTTGAGTCCGGGGTGGATTTCTTGTATGGTATTTTCTTGGTATATTTAAAAATCCTCCAATTTACTGGGGGATTTCTTGGTCATATTTAAACGGCCCGCCGACGGTTGCAAACATAACGTTCGTGAATTTCGAGCAGAAAAGCGGGTTTCATTTCTCGCGCGATCTTCTTTTTTTTAACGTGTATGTGCTGTGTGTGTTTGGCGTGCGGCTAACTTTATTGTTGTTGTTCTGGTGTTGTTGTTGTTTATTGTTGGTAACAACGTGCGGCGCGCGCACTTTAATAAACAACAAAAAGAGATTACTATTCCCAAAAGTGAGTTGGATAAAAGGAAAATATATATACTATAATTTAAGCCAAAAAGGTTTGTTTAGTTAATTAGCTGGTGTTTCCAAGAGTTATTTTGTTTTTTTTGGTAGTTCAGGGATACACATACACAGCAAGGGTGTGTTTTCCTGCGCGCGGGTGCGTTTGAGTGTGTGTGTGAGTTTTGAACCTGTCTCTTTTTCTTGGCTAAAAATCAATAAAATAAAGCAAAAGTCGAAACAACAAAGTGCAGGTCCTTTTGTATCCGTGCGACTATGTGTGTGTGTGTGCCTACGTGTGAATGGGGACTCTTGCAATTGTTTTTCTTTCAGTGTGTAGCCGCAATAAATAAATAAAAGACCGTTAAACGAAACTCACTTAGTTAGTCGAGCATGGCCAAAAACCCCGAGTTGCCAATTGCCAATTAAAAGCCCAAAACAAACGAAAAATACAGTGAAGCACGGCTAACGGTAATTAGGCGATTACCCGCCCTGTAAATTGCACCTGTATTAACCGTTCGTTTTACAAACATTTCCCGTATCAAATGGCCAAGTTAATTGCCGTTTTTAAATATAAGCATCTAATTGATTTTGGTTTGTTTGAATTTCATTCATAATTACTAATCCTTAATTAAATACCTCTAATTAATTTAGGTTTTTTAACAATTGTCTTTTATTTGTTTATTAATTTGCATATTCCAATGGCTAAACGAAATTTGTTGTTTAACTAAAAATGTATGTAACCAATTTGTTTAGCTGCATTCTTAATTTGTTTATTTTAATGAGAACTTATAAAGCAGTAACAATAAACAAATTTCTTACCAACATATGTACCTATACATTTGAAACCGTTTTTATACAAGAATTAATGAATTATCATTCTATTGAAGAACTTTTAGTTTTAACATTTACAAGCTTTTGTTGTATTCTTATCAATAACCACTAGCAATGACGTATTTATTTATTTTTTGTATAATGGAGATAGCAAATGTCTCAAAATGTTGTTCCATTATCGTCCAAATTCTTTTAATGGTTTTTTCCCATTTAAAGAAACTTCCTGTGTGACTAATATCATCATCTTCTGATCGCTAGAACTGTAGTACTGAAATGGCTTAGAACAAGGGAGCAACATAAGGAAATATTGTCAATGATAAATTGGTTAAATTATAAGAATTTTTTTAAGAAAGCCAATTATTTATTATATATTCTACCCGCATTATCTATTAACCGCTTATCGCTGTAGTTGGCCGCACTTTGGTGTTAAGTGATATATGATAAAATGAGTTAAACCCAAAGAAAAAGCCTCGAAACAATAATCCCAAGACCCCATATTAATAGTAGTAGTGTAGTGGCGATTTTATCTCTCCGCTCGGCGTTTTGTTAATATTTTCTTTACAGTTAGCGAGCAGCTTACTGTTTTTTTTAATGCCTTTCTTAACTGGATTGGCAATTGCTGACTGTATATTAAATCATTTACACTTTGCCAGCTGCCATGCACTGATTCTGATACAGCCCCTCTCATCCATTTCCCCTATTGTCTTTTGTTTACCTCTTTCTATTTGTCTATATATATATAAACATATATTTATTATTTTTATCAGTTGTGGCTTTATCTAATCTGAAGAGGGTGCGACGATTCCTGTTGCTGAATGAGTCACACCGCCATACAATATTGTTGCCATATTTATATGTATCAAGTGCAGTTGGACTGTCAAGTCCAAGTGCAGCTTCAATTGGCTGATTAACATTTTTGTTGTTTCGCTGGACTTCATAGTGCCTACCTGACTATATCCATCCCCCTCTCTTTCTCCACCGCTCAGACCCTCTCTTTCACCCCGCTCGCCTGTAGAACTTAAAGTCGTTAAACCAGTTTATGACTGGCCGGGCATAGAGGCCATACGTTAAGTAAGTAGAATCAACAGACTCTGAATCAGCTGCGGATCTTACGGCCACAGCTACTGTGGCTGTGTTTATGACCTGTAAAACAGTGAGAGCAGAAGTGTATTGGCCAGAAGAGGTGTTATGGTAAAGCTCAAGCCCCTAGATCTTCCAGCTAGACACATACAAATTGGTATGCAATTTACTGTATACATAGTTTCTAAAATTAATTTAAATATTCCAAATCGCCCTATCTTATGATGCTTTGCAGCTATAGACAGCAATTATTCTTAATAATATGTATAGAAAGCATATTTTTATTGACTAATAGTATTAAATCCTTTATTTATAACCAGTTTTATAACACCTAAATACTCGATTTAACACTAATGAAAACTAGGGTATCTTCTAGTTGAAAAGCTCAAACAAAGCGTTCTTAATAGTATTTTCTTTGTTGCTGTTGGGGGGGGCTTGGGAAAAAGCGGAAGAGAAAGGGGTGAAAGAAGTGAGGGGTATTCACTTTTATGGTTGGGGGAAGCGTGCCCGTGGCTGCAACTTCCTCATATGTGCGTTTAATGAGCAGCGACCGTAATCGGTTTTTATAAAATAGTTAAAATTAAATGTTCAATCCGGGACAGAGCTTTTCATCGTCTCTATTTCTGTAATCAAAATCATCGAAATTGGTTTTGGTTTCCCCTTATTTAACCAGATGTGTCACCCTTTGATTCTAGGCCCTGAAAAATCCGATTTGTAACTTAATAGTTGTTTAACCAAAATCGTATTTAAATTTAGGCCAATGTCAGACGGGGGGGGGAGTTGGGGAACGGGCTAACTGAAATAATTGACCAAAAACAATGATCAGAAAGATGATTAAACATTGAGTGATCAATGAGGCAAGTGAATTGCCGGCGGCGAGGATGGAAGCTTCACTTTGAGTTTCGTATTTCAAGTCTTCAACAGCTGCGCCCGATATTTACCTGTCTTGGAGTTTCAGTTTTTTGTACATTATTTGTTTAGTGGTATATTTGTACGGTTTACTTCACACTTCCTTGTTGGCTCGACTTTGAACTTGGCATCTTCTTGAAGATCGTGGGCCTTTTGACCTTCCCGGTTCTCTAGGATCGATCCATGGTCGCCTATTCACCCGTTGACCCAAATGCTGTCTTATAATGGATGACTTCCACGCAACAAAACAAATTTCGCATCAAAAAAAAAAAAAATTTAATAATACAAACAACTTATATATTCAACGGATTGCAAATGCAGCCACAATGGCTATAGTTTAGTTTATTGAACGCACAATAGGCTGAATGAAGCATGCAAAAATGTTGAGCCAATTCGAAAATTGTGTCGGCAATAACAGCATCCAAATCCACGTGCCAAATGGCCGAAAATCAATTTGTATTATTTCCCCATTATTAGATATTTTTAGAAAATAAAGGTACTTCGCTTTTCTGCAACCTTGAATTACAGATTAATAAATATAATTGCAAAGATTTACTTTTATGTTCTTATTAATAATTTGTTTAATTGAAAGGATTTTAGCAAGCTAGAAATTGTTATACCCATAAACAAAGCTTAAGCATGTAGTAAGTAGTGGTGAGTTGATTAATAAAAATGATTAAGGCTTACTTCGTTTAGGTGGCTTTTCCAATGCCTCTTCATTTCACTAATTACAAGAACGTTAAGATAACAGTTTCGATATAGCGGATGGCAGAGATACATATATGTTTGGGACGCCTCCTGCCTGTCACTTTTGTCTAAATTACTTTCGACCCTTTTTGTGGGAAGACAATGTCAATGACGGCTTTTTTTTGGTTTTCGTCTAACGATGACGAAGGCGATCGCAGATGACTTGTCTTTCGGATGCCAAAAAATTTCTAAACATCATTATGGGAATGACAGTGCCTTGAGATGTAGATGCAAATGCAGATGCAGATGCAGATGCAAATGCCGTTGCAGTTGCATTTGCAGTTAAACAATTTCATTGTCGTTGCTTTATTCATATTTTTTTGCATTTTTTTATTGGGTTTTATTTTTGTATTTATTCGGTGTCTTTTGTGACCTGAGACAACAATGGGATTTGATGTCTTCACCAAGGGCTCTCTGTTATCGATTGTGCTGCATAAATTACACGCTTTGTCACCTCGATTCGATTACAAATTTATGCAAATCGCTCTTTAATTTATTTAACAGCTGCGAGCCATTGATGATGGCAATGTAAGTGCGAAACAAGTGGGTGGGTGGGTGTAATACCTATACTATATGGTAAATACTGTTTAACTGTGATGTCATCACCGCCGCATTCCGGGGCAGTACAGTGAAGCACCGTTTTGTGTTACAATACCCAATCGAAAGTACCGTTCACATGCAAAAATGCAACAATAAAAGTAAGGGGTAAAAGTACACAGTGCAAAATAAGGTTTTCTCTTATAACAAAAATCAAAGCTCTTATTATTTACCACAAAATAAATTGAATATGATTTCAAAATGTAACATAAAATTAGATTATGGTTGAAAATAAAAATATAACTATATAAAAAAAAAACACAATTATATAGTATAGTATAGTTACTTAGACTAACTAATAAAATACGCAACTACACAATGTGACTGTTTTAAAAAATCATAAAAATGTTAATTATCAGTCAAATGTGTATTTTGTTTCGCTGTGTAGCAAGAAATAATTAGCTCACATACGTTTTCCACTCTAAGCATTTAATGAGGCCTCTAAGCTATTGTCTGGCCCCTGTACATCCCATAGCACCCGCTTAGCCCCCTTCGATGTTGTGTAATTTGTTGTTAAACTGTCAATTCAATTGACGTTACTCATACGACCCGTTGTGCAGCGGATGTTTAGCGCAGCGAGAGCTCCCCTCTCTTTTTATTTTGCATTTCTATGACAATTTTCCCCTCGCTCACTAATTTCTAGTTCAACAAAGGCGATTTCTCAGTTCTGCAAATAAATGCGGAAAAGGTCTCGGAGCCTTAACTTTTGCCTTCAATGAATGTTGCATAAGAGACTTTCAATTTCCGATTTTCATCGGCTTTAATCAAGCTGTTAAGACCTCAATGGGATGTTTTAATTTCGTTTTTCTTGGCATCTCTTTGATGTTGTGCCATAAATTTTCCTTAAAAATGCCTGGAGCACAGCCAAAACAGTAAAAATAAAAAAGAAAAT